TCTATTCTATTCTATTCTATTCTATTCTATTCTATTCTATTCTATTCCATTCCATTCCATTCCAATCCATTCCATTCTACCCTGTTTCTCCCAAAATAAGACCTCCCCTGATAATAAGCCCAATCGGGCTTTTGAGCGCATGGCAATAAGGCCAAGCGCTTATTTCAAGTTCAAAAAAAATAAACATGGTCCTATTTTTGGGGAAACACGGCATTCTACTCCATCCCATCCCATCCTATCCCATTTTATTCCATTCTATTCCATTCCAATCCATTCCATTCTACCCTGTTTCCCCCAAAATAAGACCTCCCCTGATAATAAGCCCAATCAGGCTTTTGAGCGCATGGCAATAAGGCCAAGCACTTATTCAGGGTTCAGAAAAATATAAGACAGGGTCTTATTTTCGGGGAAACACGGTAGCAGTCTACCAATAGTTGAGGGGCTGCCACAGAGAAGAGGGGTCGACCTATTCTCCAAACCATCTGAGGGCAGGACAGGAAACAATGGATGGAAACTAATCAAGGAGAGAAGCAACCTAGAAATAAGGAGAAATTTCCTGATAATTGGAACAATTAACCAATAGAAAGGGTTTCCTTCAAAAGTTGTGGATGTCGCATCACTGGATGCTTTTAAGAAGAGATTGGACAGCCACTTGTCTGAGTGGTACAGGGCCTCCTCCTTGAGGAGGGGGGGCTGGACTTGATGACCTCCAAGATCCCTTCCAATTCCTTTACTCTGTTAAAGGGCTGCATATTGTTCCTCTGCAAGTGAATGCGCTAGGCGCCCCCTTCTTCTCACGCGCTTCTTCCCACGCACTCTCCAGCCCCAAAGGGAGGTGGCAGCTTTGTGTTTTTAACAAGAGTTAAGAGTCTTGGTTTCCTTTTTTCCCTTTCTTTCTATTTCACCTCCCACTCGGAAGCTGTGGCGGGAACCGATCCTCCAAGGATTGACGAAGATCACCTGAAGCTGATGGTTTTCTTGCAGATGTTCCTTTACCTTTGCACGGATGGTGGTACCTAGTTAGGTAATGAAACTTCTGCAAGAAAACAATCAGAGAGCTCAAAAGACCCCCACAGTCGTCCTCCTCCTTTTGTTTCTGAACTTTTCGATTAGGGAACCGTGATTTATTTAACGGAATAACAGAGTTGGAAGGGAGCTTGGAGGTCTTCTAGGCCAACCCCCTGCTCAGGCAGGAAACCCTACACCACCTCAGACAAATCTCTTCTTAAAAACCTCCAGTGTTGGAGCATCCACAACTCCTGGAGGCAACTTCCGTTCCACTGATTAATTGTTCTCACTGTCAGGAAATTCCTCCTTCGTTCCAGGTTGCTTCTCTCCTTGGTTAGCTTCCATCCATCTCTTCTTGTTCTGTCTTCAGGGGCTTTGGAGAATAGGTTGGCCCCTAGTGGTGAGTTCCTCCCGGTTCGGCCCAGTTCGGCCGAACCGGTAGCGGTGACGATATGATGTCACCGAACCGGTTCTCTTTGTTCGGGAGCTGGGCCCTCCCGCCCTGCCCCCCCGGATTATTCTTACCTTTTACTTGCCCCCACCCCCAATCTATTGCTGCCTCCCGAGTCCCAGCTGATTGGCTAGAAGGAAAAAAACTGTTTAAACTCTTGCCATGGGCTTCAAAGGGCCGCCCTACAGCTGATCAGTGTTAAAAGGCAGTGTGGTGGTAGACCGGTGCCTCCAAAAACAAATGAGTAGTCCGGTGCCTCCAAAAACAAATGGGTAGACCAGTGCCTCCAAAAACAAATGGGTAGACCGGTGCCTCCAAAAACAAATGAGTAGACCGGTGCCTCCAAAAACAAATG